AAAATCTTTTCTTAAAAGAAAATTGGACGTGGCTAAAGTAACAGAGGTGTTACTATAATTATTTTCTTAAAGTAACATCAATTACGTAACTGATGACATCATGGTAAAATTAATGTTACTTTTATTCTGGACTAAAGTAACAGAGCTGTTACTCTAATTATTTTGTTAAAGTAACATCAATTACGTATTACGTGGCTAATGTGAAGAGCGATACGCCAATAAACTTATGTCGGGATTTGCGCATTCTAGAAAAAACACTTGGAAGTATTCCCAATATTATGTGCGACAGTTGCTTAAATTGGTATCATTTTGCTTGTGTGGGTTTATGTAGAGAACCCAAAACAAAAAATTGGTTTTGCCGAAATTATTTTTAATTTCTTATAGAGGTTCTGAGATTCACAATTCAAAAATGTACCTATTTAATTGTGCAATAATTAACTGAATTGCAATATTTGTTGTTTCCTAAGATTTTGTATTTTGTAAGCTTGTGTTTTATAATAGATATTCATGCGTTAAAATTTCTGTTACACTAGAAGTAAATTTTATTTTCCAATATGTTGTTTTATTTTTTTGATTAGGTATGTGCATTTAAAATTACCTTTCTATAGGGTTGCCACATTTGAAGAGTTCAATTCCGGGACGTCCTCCGTTCATGATAAATATTTAAAACAAAAAAAACTTTTGTAGTATACACTTAGCTTTATGTCCATGTGGCAACCCTATCTATTTATCTTAAAATTCATGTACGACAAAGAAAAACTCAAAAAAAAATTATAAACCCAAAAATTAAAGAAAGTCAGATTCTATAAACCTATATTGTGAGAAACACGGCCGGCATCCCATATTCCTGCCGGTACATGCCGTTACACAAATGTGCCTTTCCTGCCTCGTGTCTGGTTTTATAAACATTCTTCTTCAAAGTGATAGTTTTTTGTATCTATTTTTATTGTTATTTTAAAACAAATGCCAAGAATATCACCACTGTTACTTTAAGAAAATAATTAGAGTAACATAGCTCTGTTACTTTAGTCTAGAATAGAAGTAACATTAATTTTACTATTCATCAGTCACCAGTGACGTAATTGATGTTACTTTATGAAAATAATTATAGTAACACCTCTGTTACTTTAGCCACGGCCAAGAAAATTCAATAAAAACAGCGAAAAGCAACAATTATCGAAGGTACTTCTGAACATGCGTGATAATAAATTGCGAGTGGCTGTATTCAATATCGGAATGCATGGCTGATTTTCTTAAAGAACATCCTGAATTAGTGTTTGACTAAAATAGTTTTTACAATGTTTTGACAAATTCTGCGTACGTTTATATAAATTTTTTCTTTTCGATATTAAATGAGTTGATTGTATTACTTATTTTTGTTGTACTATCATTTAGAGGTAATAAACTTTATTTACAATGAAAATGTCAGCTAACAATATGTCATTCTGTGAAAGTGGCTAAAGTGCCAAACAAAAACCTTTAAATTTCACAGCCAACTCCAATTATGATTTTTACGAAGGCTCGTTACTTATATTTCACTTCTACTACTAAATTGTCTTTCTAAAAAAGTGCTAAAAAGCAATTACTATTAATTGGAAGATCCATAACGATAGATGAGTGCCTACTATTCAGACTATTTATATATATACATAAATCTGTCTAAGGCCCATTTGCATCAATCTGCCTTGAACGGTGTAACGCTGTAATTGCCAAATTCCTGTTGTTTAAGTTATTTTAGTGCATTATATATTTACATTTAAGGAATTTTGATGCAAATGTTTCTTATTTTTATACACGGTAATTTGTTAACTACATAAACAATTCACAGTCTTCATAAATTTTATATAAAATGTAATATTTACAGTTTTTTGACTGAAAAATATGCATAAAAAACAATTTTAGTCCATTGATAAAAGATTGGTTTTCCGAAAAATCGAATTACATGTTAGGTTGGCGAGAAATCAAACACTGGATTTGCGATAAATCCAAGTATATGTTTAAGTTTGCGAGGAATGAAAGTATAGGTTGGTTTTACGAGAAATACAAGTATAAGTTGGTTTTGCGAGAAATCCAAGTAAACGATGGTTTTTCGAGAAATTCAAGTATAAGTTGGGTTTACAAGAAATCCAAGTGTAGGTTGGTTTTATGAGAAATTCAAGTATACGTTAGTTTTACAAGAAATCCAAGTGTAGGTTGGTTTTGCGATACATTAAAGACTATTGGTTGGCTTTGCGACAAATCCAGATATATGTTAGGTTAACGAGGAATCAAAGTATAGGTTGATTTTGCGAGAAATGCAAGTATAGGTTGGTTATGTAAGAAATCTAAGTGTAGATTAGTTCTGCGAGAAATCAAACACTATAAGTTGGTTTTACGAGAAATCCAAGTATATATTGGTTTTGCGAGAAATACAAGTATAGGTTGGTTATGCGATAAATTAAACACTATAAATCGGTTTTGCGAGAAGTCCAAGTATATGATAGGTTGCGAGGTATCAAAGTATAGGTTATTTTTGCAAGTACATGTTAGGTTTGCGAGGAATCAAAGTATAGGTTGGTTTTGCGAGAAATTGAAGTATAGGTTAGTTAGGTTGCGAGGAATCAAAGTATAGGTCGGTTTTGGGGGAAATTCAGGTAGTATTGGTTGGTTTTCTGAGAAATCCAAGTATGGGTTAATTGCAACTATAAAATGCAAAATACATTTTTTTTAAACAACTTAAAAAATTTGCAAGTGCTTATGTCTATCAAGAGATGTCGGTATATGAGTATTAGGACACCCTGTAGATAAGGGTATATAAAAAATGCGGGCCAAGAAATATAATGCTATAATTTGAAAAAAAAAAAAAATGTAACAAATATGCTTCAAAAATAGGGTTGACTTGCGAAACATGGTCCAGATAATAATTTGAATTTTTATATTTTATTTATAGTGGTATAGTATTTATATTTTCTTTCTAAAAAGTAATTGAAAATATGTAAATATAAATGTATAACAAAAAAAAACTTCCAGCTCTATTATCAATGGATTTCCTACACAGGGTGTTTACTAAGCTGATTATTCTTTTTTAAATGTTAGAAGTTATTAAAATAACATTTTCAAATACCTTTATCAAAATTAATAAAAAATAAATAAAAAAGTCGCATAGATTTATGTCTCGATTGGTAAGAAATAAAATAAGAAAGTTATAGAATCAAATAATTCAAATCCGATTACAGAGATCATCAGGCTTCAAGTTTTCTTATTTTTATATTTTTGAAAAAGTAATTTAAAAAAGTTTATACACAATTAAAAAAGAAGTAACTTATGAGATTCATAAAAAATCACAGGTCTTTAAGAAATAACTAATTTTTACAGACTTATATTAAAAATAGGTTTTCTAGGTAATTTTATAATTTTGGGATGTTTTTATTTATTAATTTGCCATATAGGTATTATTATTTTTTTTTTTTTTGTAGAAATTATGTATGAATTCAAATAGGAAATGAAGTATAAATCTGTATATTATATATAATTTACAATATCACAAAATGTATGGAGGATGGTTGCGTCAATTAAAATGCAAGATTAAATCGAAGATTTCTTTTTTCAAAAAAGTGGAAGATAATATCGTAAAATATTTGATTCAACAAAGCCATATTAGTGTGAAAATAAAAAGGCATTTTTATTCTTTAAATTAAAATTATTTTATAATTTAACTTTTTTTTTGTAATAAACTATATCAACGGACGACAGCTAAATTAGAAAAAAAAATGCACCAAATAAAAGTGGTAGAGGGCAATGAAAGCTTTGTCACAAAAATAACTACCAATACAGGGTTTTTGTTTTATTTATTTTTCTTGGAATGTAGATGTTTATTTTTATTATAATTAAAACTACAGTTTTCAGTCAAATTGTAAATTACAATAATTGTAAATTTCATTTGAAAATAATGAGAAAAAGTGATCCATAGTTTTGGTTACCCCTGCATAGGAAAAGCGCCATTCAGTAAAATTATAAATAGGAAACGAAAATTCACAATTTTCGACATTTGTTGGAACATTTCTTTTTCCAAATTATTGATTTCAATTTATTTGATATTGAATGAACCTAACATATATTCGACCATAAATTCCGAACCACCTGGTATAAACCCATAAAACCCTATATTTTTGAGAAACACTTTCCAAAGGAAGTCAATCGACTGAAGATATATAGGGTGTTTTATTTAAAAAACAAAACTTTGGTAAGTCACATATTTATTTGAAACTCTGTATATTGGTAGCAATTTTTGGAACACAACTTTTATTCGAGACATTTTTCCTAACTCAAATACCTAAGTAGCTGTCGTCCATCCTGTATATTAGTGTGACGTATAAGTGCCCCGAAAATACGCAACCCTACTACATTTTTTTTTATCTAGTCTAATACAGCTGATAAGATTCAATTTATTCGAGATTCCATAGTAGCAAAAATATGATATATGGCGGGGTTGCAATTTTGATGCATTTTTGAGAGTTTCGTCGTAATCACTAAATACAGTCCACTTCAAAATTGAATTCTTAAAACTGGAACCTTTTTCTTTATGGTTTTTTTACATACATTGTTTAAAAATTAAAAAGGCATTTGCTGTGTGAATCAAAACCTAAATGAGCAAAAGAGAAGGAAATAAATTCGTTTAATTTCCTATAGTACCACGGTATTGATACTCTCGCTGTATTTTTGTTTTGTTCTTTTCTGCTTTCACATCATAATACCGATAAAACATTATTTAAAAATTAGATATTTCTAATATTATTAAAAATATTTAAATAAAAATTGTACTGAATTTAAAACTTTTTAACATTAGAAGAGCTTTTATATATTTTTTGAAAAGATGAATAATTGAACTAACTTTAGAACGTCAAAAAGATTTGGTATATGATTTGGTCATAATGTACTCTATAAATTCTGAAAAATAGTCTCTTTGAATTTAAAATTCGAGATAATCTTCCCACTTTTATAAAAAAATATATCAGTTTTTCCTACGTCTCATTTTCGATTATCGAATTTGGATTTTCGCCTTTCATTATGCAGTCTCTCATTCCTCTCAGGATAATTTCTACTCTACGATCTAAGGCTACTAGATGAGGCTCCCAGAGTATCGGATTGATGGGATCTGAGCTCATACTTTGGCGCATGGCTTCGCTAAGTTTAATTGGGCCATTGTGAAACCTGAAAAAAAAAACAATTTTAAGTGTCTGCGTTAATTAAATTTCTCTCCGCTACGCGGTTTTGGGATAGGAGGAGCAGTATACAAGTTGACATTTTAAAAAGGAATATGCCCCATAGTATTATAAATATTTTCGTTTCGTTTTGAAATGTCGCTAGTTGTAACAAAAATGAATTTTCATACGACCTCTTAGGAAAGTGACTCCTATCGCATTATTTAGAATTATGGGAAGTGCCCTATATCACACGCATGTGGATAAATCTACTTTCCACACGTGTGTGAATATGAATCTACTTTCCGCATAAGCTGTCAAATAAGTTAGACGTCTAATTTCTATTTTGATTGGTGTAATGTCCATTTTAATAGTAAAATCGATTTGATGATTAAATTGTTAACATTAATTTTTAAAAATAGATGTTAGGTATTTCTTTGTTTAGATTTGAACATTTTTCTTTATATTCACCTATTAAATTATCATCCTGTATATGAAATTTATTATTTATTGAATTAAAAAGTTTAATATCATATGCAATTAATAATAAACACGTTTCAATTTCAGCTCAAGTTGTATGTTTAAATCGTAATTAAAAATGCTGACTTATTTTCGAAACACTGAATTGGAGACATTTAAATTGGAATAATAATATTTTTTTAATGTACATTTAAATATTTAAATTTTAATTGTTATCCCAAACAGCACAGTACGTCTTAAGTACGTACAGTTTTGGTACTGTATGTACAGGACGTAAAATGTACGTTTTAAGTACGTACACAATAGTACATACCAGTACGTACAGAAAAATACGTACTGAGTACATACCTAAGTGTACGTAATCCTGGTTGCATACCTATGGAATTCAGGCAGGGGAAAGCTGTAAGCAAATGTTCATAAAACATAAAATTCTTCCGTTACCATGCATTTATATTTATAAAACACTTCTGTATGTAAAGTCTAACTTACACAAATTCAAAAAAAATTCCGATTTTCACAGATATCCCACCAGAAATGCAAACACGTTTATTTCGGTCCAACATAGACTAGCTTTGTTTGAAAAGTCACCGCAATATATAGGCATAAAACTCTTTAATAAATTACCTAAAAATATTCAAGCATTATCTTACACTAAATTCAAATCTAATGTAAAAACTATTATTACTCGTAGTTCCTTTTATTCTGTTAACGATTTTTTGTCTGAAGATAGTCTTCTTTAAAAAAAAAATATTTTGATTTGTGTTTAACTATTAGTTTTAACGTATGTGTTCAGTGTAATGTAATTTTAATTTTATTTAAAATTTTATTTATTAATGTTGACGTGTACATCCATCTATGATGGCAGCATTGGCTAGTACTAATAAAGATATTATTATTATTATTATTATTATTATTATTATTATTATTATTTTATTGAAAAACCTATGTTTTTACCAAATTTCTGTTGACCGCGGTAGGCCAAAAACTGCAAAGAAAAAAGAAGAAACACATTTTATTTAACCTAAACTAAACTCGCTCGTTTTTTTAAGTGTTACAAGCAACCACGTTTCAACGGTTTCAGCAGTTTGTTATTGTTAGTTTTTTATGTTTAAGAATTTAACTATTAAGGGTTTCATTAAATAAATAATTGTGTATAATTTATTATAATTGAACAAGACAGTTCTTGACTTTTTAGTGCGTGTTATAATAAGTTCATAGTTTCGTCATTTTATTCTGGTGAGTGGTTTCATTTTAATTTTAAAAAATTATGTGTAATAAATATAATTTATAGATCCCATTCCATAGTAAACATTACAAAAATGCTACAAAACAATTGAAAAGGTTTAAGGAAATGAATAAACAGAAGGACAAAAGAAGTGATATTTTACGGACCCTAATAATTTAATTTTGGTTTTTGTCAAAAGGAGTATGGCTGCTACCTTAGTAACTGTAATCAGTTGGCAACAAATTATAATTGGCTGCAGTTGTAGTGGGTAAGATGTTTTGATTTTTTATTTTTGCATGCCAGTTTCCATAAAGTCGTTGCATTAAAAACCCTCTATCCAGTCACAATTATTTTTGTATCTAATGAAATTGTGTACTTCCAACCATTGGACTTCAAAACTGACGGAGAAAAAGAAATAAAGTAGTTCCGATATTATAGAGCAGTGGCAGGAACAAATTGAATTTCAAAGGCATAAGGCTAAAACAGGTGGATACAAATGAGAGAGGTTTAAATCCAGGAGTATATTGACAATGATAATTTTGAGCCGTAGAAACTATCGCTTACTTTTTGTTATAATGTTATATTACTTATTATAAAAAGTACCCAAGTTCATTTTCTAATTTGATATTATTTTTTTACAGAAGGTGCTATAAAAAGTAGCAAATGCAAAGAGAAGAAGGTTTCAGAACAGGAAATTGTGATATGGCTAAGAAAAGCTGATGATAGTCTAAAAACTTTCAAAAAAGATAGCAAAACAATTTAAATTATTCTTTTAATGTAAAAAATTAAATAAATACAAATTAACTTATTTACTTTACTTTGAATTGTACTATTACGTACATTATACATCATAAGTAAGTACCAATAAGGATGTAAAGTACGTCTAGAATATGTACTCTATTGGAATAAGTACAAATATAGTACGTACAAAGTAATTACATTAAGTACGTACACAGTACGTACAGAGTATGTACATTAGGTACGTACAGAGTACGTACTTTAAGTACGTACCACCATCGTTTGGAAAATGTACGTATTATGTACGTACTATGTACGTACTCCGTACAGTAAAGTACGTACATGGTACGTACTTTACGTCCCATTCGTACGTACATAGTACGTCTTATGTACGTATGTGTGTTTGCTGGGATTGCATATTATTTATTATGCGATATTATAAATGTAAATACAAATAAGAAATAAAGATATTGACTAACAACATGTGGTAGTATACTTTACAAAATTATCTCTGAAATGACATTCATGAAAACCATCTAATAGTATCACTTACAAAATTAATCTTTGAAATCTATTTATGGTCCTTCGAACAAAAGTTTAAAAATTTGAAAAACCCATGGAAGAAGCAAACTTCAACATGAAGAAAAACAAGAAAATGAAGTCCTTCTGCCAACCTTAATAACACAATTTCGACCAAATCCAAGCCAAAACCCAAGAAGCAACGCTTTAAAACCAAATCGAAACTCGTATCAAGTGAATTCGACTGCCATACAACCAAGGTACTTCCGTTCCAGTGAAGTTCTTAATACTCAAAAATCGATGCTTGTATCAAGCGAATTCGGCAACCATACAACCAAAGGACTTCCGTTCGATTGAAGTTCTACATATCCAAGAAGCACCAATGCTTTAAAAATAACTCGAAGCTCGTAACAAGCGAATTCGACAACTATACAACCAAGGGACTTCCATATGATTAAAGTTCTACATACTCAAACCCAAGAAGCACCAATGCTATAAAAAACAAATTGAAGCTCGTATGAAGGGAATTCGACAACCATTCGACCATTCAATTGAAGTTTTCCATACTCAAACACAAGAAGCATTAAATGCTTTAAACAACCAAGTGACTTCCGTTTGATTGCAGCTCTTATCCAAGGAGCACCAATGATTTAAAAAAAAATCTAAACTCGTATTAAGCGAATTCGACAACCATACAACCAAGGGACTTCAGCCCGCTTGAAGTTCTCCATACTGGAACTCGTATCAAGCGAATTCGACAACTATACAACCAAGGGACTTCCGTTCGATTGAAGTTCTCCATACTCATACCCAAGAAGCATCAATGCTTTAGACGCATAAGTTAAATTCCATAATTTCCGAAAAAAATGGCGTTCAAGGTGAGCTGCATGAGAAAATTTGGAAGAAAATCAAGAACCACAATTATATATCTAATTCCATACAGCCGCTATTGTGTTACCTACACTAATAGTTCAATGGGTCCTATACAAAAAGATCTACTACCATATCTGCCCTGGTCCAACAACATCGCCAAACCACGCAGAGATGATCGAACTCCAGAGACTAGCGTCAGTCAGGAACGAAAATCCTCGTGAGTTAAGATGAAAGTCGCCAGTATTTTCAGATTTGAACATTTTTCTTTATATGCACCTATTCAATTTACATCCTGTATATTGTAACAACCGGGGAGCCTAAAGACCACCACTTGTCACTAGATGTAACAACCAACTAGCCTAAAAACCATTTGTAACTTCTGATAGGTCTTTAGCTACTGTTGTTAATATACTATTAAGGGATTAGGGCAGCACCGTCACCAGCCAAGGGGCCCAGGAGTCCTGAAGGAACCTCCATTCACCAGTGGCAAATAAAAAGAATAATAATAAAAAAAAATTAAATTAAAACAACAAAAATTATCTCTTAATAGCATAGTCGAGCGGTTCATGGAAAATAGTTTTAGAATCTTTTAGTCCTAAGGGAATAGAAACGCCGAGGCTTCTCAAATGCTCGGAATATTTTACTGGTTTGGAAAGGGGGGAGAGATTAATATTAAGTAGTAAAACATTAACGAATGTATATTTACAATAAGTACAAAATTTGACTAATATTCTTAAGAAATAATGAATTAAATTATATTTAGGGAATAAAGCACTACTTGTTAATAGATACAAACTTTAAATATAGATTTAAGATAACTAGATAAACATTTTATTGAATAATAAGTTTGAACTTATTAACAATTATAAATAGCACTGAAAAACTTTAACTACATAATAATATAAAATATGTATAGGATAAATATGATAATTCGGGACGAAAATGTAAAATTGGCATTTATATGTAAATCAATTAATTATTATTAAACAAAACACTTTAAAAATAAGTTAGAGACATTTACCCATAATTTATAACTCGCTGCACAAAACTTTACTCTACACATTACTTAAAGAGTCCCAAAAAACGAGAGCTACCGCCCTCGGCGAAAGTTCTGAACCTTAGTCCGCACTCGATTGAGAGTCTTTTCTTTCTGTCTCCTCACTATATAAACCAAA